CAGCCACTTGATTGAAATGGCATCGTGTGGTGACGGTGGTGTATTCCGATTCTTATCATGCTGAGTATTGAATATTATAGATAATATAGAGCTTGATAACACGTGGGCAAGTCGTATTGGGTGATTGCTGTTACACTTCAGTAGCTAATGACAGTGACACAAACTTGCAGAAGAGATCAAACAAACAAATTGCCATGAATTTGGGCCAGTGGTTGCTGCTGCAAGTGGGTAGATGTTCTTTGGACATATGAGGGATCCTTTATCGACGCACGAGTGCTAGGAAAGATCATGTCCATCGAGATTGCCAGATCTTTAGTAATTGTTTTTTGTTGCGATGGACACTTTAGGATACGTCCCCCTTCTCACAGGCAGCTCTTCTAAGCTATGCATATGGATTTACTTGAAATGATTGCTGCGGTGATTTTTGGTACTTCAGTTCAAGTTTTTTGTCGAATTCTTTGTAGTCACACACTTGGAAGGGTCTTTTTGGATTGGTTGGATGGGTTACTCTTCAATTTCAAGCTGTTTCCAATGCCATGATTGAATTGCCATCTTCCGAAGCTCTGAGGTTGGGGCTCCACTGGTCCTTAAAGAACGCGACAAGATTGGGTCTCACCCGCTTTTGACCTCAGGTCCAGACACCAGTGGAAACTGAGCCACTTTCGCCGGAGACAGCCACTTGATTGACGTGCAGTGCCTGCCAGTACCACAAACAGGATGACACTGGAGTTGGAATCAGGCTCCAGCTCGTCGGGGCTTGTTTAGAGCTGGACCACGGAACATGCACCAGGATTTAGGGCTCCGGGGGTTGATCAGCGTACCTGCAGGCGATTTTCCCTACAGCCAAAGGCCGTTGGTTTCAAAACTTGGGTTTCAGCTGGTTAGGCATTGGCCCGGGCACAAGAGCTGAGAAAAGACTAGCACCTGGTTTTGATATAGTGGTTTCATGTGGTTTCCTTCTGAAGCCACTGAGGTGAGTATTAGTGTGAGTATTGTATTTCTATGTATTGGTATATATATATAAATGAATCCAAGTGACGAGTTGAACGCAGCGGCCAACCCCCGTTGACCGGACCATGAAAGCGTTCCGAGAAAGCGTTCCGCCATCGACTGAGGCGACCAAGCCTTCGGGAGAGGTTCGATTGCTACTTCCTTCCAAGGCCAGGTCGCCGAAGTACGTCATGCGGACGCTGGAGCAATCCACTGGATTGTCACCGGGCTGAGGAGAACCGCCCCAGCTCGTTCATGTTGGACTTAAATCGATTGACCGAATTAATTCCAATGGTTCTTCTGGCGACAGCTTGATCCAATCCACTGTGGAAACGGGTCAAACATCACCAGGTGGCAGCGCTAGCAACCCTTTGCAGGCATTTCTAGGGCCTTTGAGCTGCTTTCGGCGGCCGGACAGTTTGGAACATGCAGGAAAGACACCGCTGCGCAACGCGCTTCCTTCTTTCCTGTAGGGGTGCATGTTTGGTTCCACTCCACAACAATAATTCTTTATGTTTTGATTGGGGGCACCACTGCAGCACCTTTCATAATGAGTACATACCATTAGTAGGTGTCTCCAAGCGGACATCTTTCACCTGCGTCATACGCAGCCACCACCTGGTTGACGTTTTCAGGCCAAGGAGGAAGAACCAAAGGTTGTGGTCTCGGACTTTGCCACTTGGAGGTCGTTGGGTGTTCGTGGCACCTGCCGGCGCCCCCGCGCCCCCCGAACTGCGCCAGTATTTGCGCCCGCGGCCGGTGCTGTGAGCATTTGTCAAGAGGAGACACCCTGAAATGTGCCATGCATTGACTAGTGGATTCTAGTGGATAGGCTGAGTTTGCCATAGGTTGCCTCTTTGTTTTTCTTTGAATTGGAACATCATCAGTGTGCAGCGTGTGATTTGTTCCGGTCTCTCATCCCGCAAGGCTCCAAGAGATGAAGACTCGGCAAGTCTACACCCCGGGTCACCAGCGGCGCAAAAACCACCTGAAATCCATCGATGTCGATGTGGTGCGCCTGCTGTGGGAAGAAAAGAACAACTGGTTGTTTGAAACCCTTCTGTTTCAAGGGGCTGGAGAGTTTCAGAGTGGCCTAGGATGCCTATTGGAAAACCTATCATGGGTCGATGATGTTTAAGGTGACCTACTTCGCAAAAGATCTCCCTTTCTTTGCCCCAGATCTCAGCTACTCAGCGACCACAGTCCAAAGATGAGGATAACCAAAACGTCCAGCTTCAGCACCGGGTTTCAGTGACGATGCGTCACCAGAACCAGTTTGCGCTATGCCGCTATGACTCACACCTGTGGTGAGGTGAAAAATGCCATGGCCAGCGCCTACCACACGGCCCAAGATGAGCTGGAAGCAGAGGAGAGCGGTCCTGGTTTGGCTGAGAAATCTAAGTTGATCACTCGGAAAGTCTCCAACAATTGCTGAAATACCGGGGCGGACATGTCTTGGATAGTTTTTACAGAACTGCCAGAAGACATTCAGATCAACTGGCGCTAAAGTGTTGGGTTGAAACCTCGCACTTACATGGTTTGGCACACACAATGTGCAAGAGCTTTCTACATTATGATCTGCCAAACTCAAGATTTCCTATCCCCCCCAGCAGCATGACTAGATCTTCATGCGAACCACGAGACAGTGTGTCATCATGTAAAGTGCCCCCAAGTAGTCAGCCATGAAATACCACTGGCAGTTCCAAGTCCAAAGTCGCGCATGTCGTCCATCAACACATATTGAATGCTCTGTTCTTTTTTGTTTCGGTTCAGATGACAGATCTCACCCCTCCAATCAAGGACATCAGTCAGCCCTATGTGCCTCCGAGCACGCCCACGGCGCCTTGGAAGCAGATGGCCAAGGAATCCATCGTTTGGCATTCTTCGGCACACAAAACGCGTGAAAAAGGGGTTTGTCGGGATTCTACGGTTGGTGTTCTTCTACAACATGAAGAGGCACAGAGATGAAAACAGTTGCACCGCTTCAGACTTCTCCAAACCACGCTCGGTGAGCACTGTGCTCATCAGTCAAGATCGGGACAAACAAATGAACTCTGACCTTTTTGGATTTGTTTGTATAAGTCTTTTAGGTCCTTTTGGTGTGGGTTTCATGGGAGTGTGAACTTCATGAACTGCGAGATGGGATACATATGTCCAAGAGGATAGCATCCAGGAAAAGTAGTGAGTGTCAACTAAGCTGCTTGACGCTGTCCTTATTTTGAACCGTTTCATTCTCACTGCAATCCTTCTTGAGTCTTTCCTCAGCCTCCCAAGGTTTCTTTTTTGTCACGTGTGTATCAAAGGTTCTTATACTGATCACATCGCTTGGGAGGGGTGGATCATGAACACCATATTTCAGGACTTTCTTGACCTTGTAGACCATGGTCAATCAATCTAGCGTCGACACGCAAATCCCATGAGTGGTCGACCTCACACCTGTGACGCCTTGCTTGCCCACCAACGGTGACCATGTTCAGCATTTGGGCTGCGATGCCTTGCGGACACCGTGGCCATTTCCAGAGAAGCGTGAAGGGCCACTTATATATGTTCTTGGAAAAGGCAATCAACTGGGCAAGGTGGGGATTCACCTGAGGTGAGATCCACCTTTCGACTGTAATCAAGCAACCCCTTCAACAGTGACTGCAGGTCAGGGTCACCTCATGTTTGATTGAGGAACGTGTTGCCTCTCAATTCCTTCACTGGTGATTTGACGATCGTCGATCGTGTTGTTTCAGGTACTTCCTGTCCCCAAACCTTTAGAGAGAAGCTGGAAGACGTTCATGTTTCACCCCATAGCAGCTGGCTAGCAGAGAAAGTTTGCATTTTCCATCATGGCAAGCGGCAAACACACTGTCTCAGCTGACTCGTGTACGAAAAGTTTGTCCATTTAGTAACTCCAACCGTTTTCCCTGTCGAGTTTTTCATAGTTTTTCATGACTTACCCAAAAGTAACCTGGTTTGGCTAGAGGGATGCAAATAGACCATATTCTTTACCCAGACAACTTCACTTTGTCGAAATCCATCTGGATCTATGAACCCCCAGGTGGGTGCCCCGACACCGACCCAACCAACGGCGAACCAGGCACAGGTGTCGCTCCTGGAGCTAGCAGATTTTACCATTACTACCACTACTGCTGCTGCTGCTACTATTGCTATGCTGATGATCTATTGTGTATGCATGCATGTGCTTTCAATTTCTATGTTTCTTTTTGAGTTCTCTGTAATTCATCAAACAAACATAGTTTCAATCAGTGACACTCTTCAGGTTTCTCAGAGGGGTAGAGGGTTTGAGGCAGAGGGATTTTGGATCGCGACAGCTTTGGAATGTCCAAAAACCACTTGAGGGATTGTCGACATAGTCAGCAAGACCAGCAAAATTAGGTAATCAGTCAATGTATGCAGTCTTCAGAAATGTACCCTGCATTTTCTCTTGCTCATCCTGTAGTAAATGGCACAGGAGACCAAACATTGCATTCACTGCACTGTGGGAATTAAAATTGCACACATCCGATACATCTCATAATGGTTGTCCTTCGGGACGATGCTGTCAGTTGACGAACCAAGTGGCGAACCAGGTTGAGGAGGGGATGAACATGTAGGAACAGTCGACGGTGCAATGGGTTGTAATACATGCTACTTGGCAAGACAAGTATATTCCAAAGAAGCTGTATCCATGCCATTCAGCTTATCCACACATGGCGACATCGCGCATTTCTGGTCATGAGATGTTGCCCTTGCACGTCCTTGCTGAGTTATCCATGTGCGCTCGAGCCTGCGCGAATCCAATCCAAAGTTCAATATTATAATGTGATCACTTATGATCACTTATGAAAGAAATGAATCACTTATGATCACTTGCCACCCACAACCTCTTGAACTCTGTCGTAGCTCCGGGGCCATGTCCAGGGACATTCAGTTTGGGAGACTTTGGGGGACGGTGCAAATTGGTTTAAAAGATTATGATTATGTCAAAACAAAACATTCAAAACCATGGTAGACCAGCCCAGCATTGAGGTAGACCTCTTTGGAATGTTCGACTACCATGTCCAAAGCCATCTTTGTTTGTTTCACTGATTGTAGCAATACCATGCAATACCCAATACCCTTCCAGCCACCGGGTATTGTTGGGAATTTGAACTTTCTATTCGCTGCGAATAATCTCGGCATTGATTTCCCAAATTCTGTAGATCCAATGGTTTTGTTTCAGAAAACCCACGGTCTGAAGTTATCGGTTGAACATGATTGGTTTCGCTCAAGACTTGCGGTCATATATGTGTCCAAAAAGTCGATCACAGGAATCCCTTGGTTCGCCTTGGTTCGCCCTTTTTTTTGGGGCTTGGTTTCCCGAGAAACGAGTGGCCAGTGGCTGGAAGGAGAGGAATTTTCATGGATTTTCTAAACGTAAACCATAGCACATTTACCATCTAACAAGGGTTTCTATCCATGTAAAAGGAAACTACTACCAGGGGCCAGGAAATTTATATCCTCTTTGTTTCTCACTTGCACAGACAGGACCTAGCAGATGGGTAGAGAGGTAGAGAAGTGTAATTCGGGAAGGGTTTCTCTTTGAGAATGGCAGGGCTCTTGCAGTTGTTCTCGGGTTGAGTGCCATGATGTGTTCTTTTCTGTGTTTGGTGCGGGAGACGTCCTAAACCGCGGTTCTTCCCCGGTTCTACACAAAATCTACTGCGTGCGGGTTGAAATCGGTGGACAGGAGGAGACAGCAGAGGTAGGCGCAGTACAGGTGAGTAATGGGTGATGGGAGATGGAACTGTTGGATGTGTAGACCTGGCTTGGCGACTGCCTTGGTTTGTCATCTTTTGTGGTGTGGTGTTCTGTCCTGGGTTGAGCCCTTCTTTTGGGTGTGTCCAGCGGTTGTGTTTTACTGCCTGGAGCCGCAATCTTAGGGTGTTTGATGAAACGCATAAAAGCACGTAACAAGATACTATCAATACAATATCTTGGCACATGGGACCTGCCAGGCTGCCCTTTCGCGATGTTTCATGAACTGCAGTGCTACCCATAGTTGGTTTGCTGAATCCATTATCCCTTTTGCTACCATCTGTGCGCTTCCTGAGAAGAGGTTCCGCCCCAGCTCCTGGTGGTATCTGCAAGACATCGCAAGACCCGAAGGTGTGGAATGAACCATTGAAACCTATCACTTGGAGAGCCCTCCCCGCGAGACCTCACGGCGTGAATTTCCGGTCTGAGACTTAGTCGGCCAGGGTGAAGCCTTGGCGACGAAGACCCACCAAGAGTGCTTCATCCAAGAGTCCGCAGCCTCAGCGGAGAAAGGGGGCTGGCTTTGGCGAGGCGGTGTCCCCCCAAAACCTCTGAGGAAGGCTGGTAGGAGCAGCACTTTCGGGAATTATTCGGCTCACCATTTGGTGATTCATACAGTAATTGACCAATATGATGGGGCCGGATGATTTGCTCCTGAATTCCCCGGCACATCGAATTCGCAGGGGAACGATGTTTGCACACTGCAGGCGAACGACCAGGGGAACGGCCATGGAAACGACCTGTAGAGCCCCCGGGCGAATGGCTGTGGCGGCATACGGCGTAGAGTAGAACGAGTGCTCTCGTTGTCCGAAGAAATCCTTTCAGATCTCCAAGGGAATGACGTGGGTTGCATTTTACTTTATCAAGATACCCCCGGATTGCTACTCTTTTTGGGCTGTCCTGACAGACTGTGGCCTTCAAAACATCCATCTCTCATCATCTCTCGTGATCCGGCACCACCATGGAGCCTTGCAGGAGCCCTCCAGTCCCTGGCGTTACTAATCATACCCCGCACAATTTCCGATGTTTGAAAGACATCTGGTACCTGAGTAATTGAATGAATTTATTTTCTCACGTGAGAAAACCTAAATTTCATTCAGGAAAGAAGTGCTTGGCGCAAGTTGCGAGTGCTTTTTCCCATCTCTTCAATGGTTCTCGAAGCCGAACAGAAGAACACACACACACACCCATTTCATCCCATTTCCGCGCGGAATCAGCATCCACATCTGCAGGACCGCCAAGAAGTTCATGCCAGTCTTGGAGGGTTGGTTGCTTTTGACCTCCCTCTCCAAGCGCCTCATGTGGGAGGCCAGTCCCCGTCCTCGCACCAAACGCCAAAAGCGACACGGACGGTGGTGAGAGGTGCGACTTTGAAAGTGGGTAATTGAATTTTTTCCGAAGATTGGATTGTTGCTGGAGGTCCTTCCATTGGGTTGCAGTGTGGAGACGTCTCCGGGCTACAACTTGCGACGGGTGTCGGGATGGAAGTTCGATGCGCTAATTTCGCGTCGAGCGCTGCGATTGAATGGTTCTTCCTACTTGGCACCACCAAGTCCATCCAAGTGTTCACGGTTTCAAGAATGCCCCAGCTGCAACAGCATTGCAGCACTGTTACACATCCCATTCCCCAAAGCGGCACAGGGGAACGTAGACCTGATCCGACCGGATCATCGCCCTCCATGGATCGAGCCGGAGCGCCAGGAGCTCGGCAGCGTCTTGGCCACGTTCCAGCATTACGTCACTGGCCCAGTCGTCCACCATCGGTTTGCACGGAGTTGGGCCACCGACCATGACCAGAAATGACCAGAAGGTCTCTGGTTTGGGGCCGAAGGTCTCTTCTTGGACCATCTCCTGACTTTCTGACATTGCACATATTGCACTGTTTCTTCTTCCCAGGATGAACTGGTCGACCCTGGAATACCAGGGATGGACCGTGAGAGCACCAAGGTGAGCGAGAAGGTGGCGGACACCGTGAGGTCTTCCTTGAGTCCTATGACCTTCGCAAGGCTCGGCGGATGTCAGATGTCAGTGTTGCGGGGAGGCTGTTCTGAGTGATGAGAAGGTCAAGGTTGTGTTGATCAATGATTACATTCTGGAGAGTGTTCTGGAGCTATTCGACTTTGGAGTCCTTTAAGCCATTGACCAAATAGTTATTTGCAATGGGGTAGCCGGAAGACTGTGGGTTGTTTATTGTTTTGGTCCGGAATGCCAGCAAGACAGGAGAAGGCAATGGGGGCAGGCGTTTGAAACCTATGTTGATCTCCTTTACCATTACATCATTGCCCTATAAGGCCCTATAGTAAGATGTATAAACAATATGCAATAATATGCATATATCATATGTACATTGCATTCAATATATATATATATGTAACATATATACAAATCATGTCATTATTAGTGGTTTTGTCGACTGTTGGGATTCTGGAAGATTCTGGAACACCTCACTAACAAGCAAGCCTATAGAGTCCATAGCGGCATTCCGTTGATTCCAGCTCCAGCCAACCCCGAGATCTTGGGAGCAAGCCGCAGTCACCACGGGGTCACCAGGACCTTGGGCAAACATTTGCAAGATGCGGTGGAGCAGGCCGGGCCTGTGCGTTTTGTTTTCGTCTCTTGATGTTTCTTGTACGTGTGCCACTGAGATTCAGAAAGAGGACCTATAGGCATACCTTGTCCTTGGCCTTTGGCCAAGTAGCTTAGAGTCCGTTGCTTGTGTAAGCAAAAAGATCAACCAATTTCGACTTGAGGCAAACATGCTTTGCTCTATCTTGGAACCCTTAGCAGGCACCACACCCACATCCAAGTCTATCTCAGCCGTCGCAGTTGGTCAGCCACGCGTAGACGAATGAAGCATTGCTTGGTTTCCGTTGGCCCACGAGTGGGATCCTTTCCGTGTTTGGCTTGAAAGCCAGCTTGTGTGCACAGACCCATAAAGCCAGAAACGATCGACTCGTTATCAGCAGACTTCAACCAACGGATTGGTTTGACCATTGGGAGCCGCCCACGCGGTTGAACGCCGCCGCGCGACGATGCCGACGCCGGACGCGAGGTGAATTTTGCGCGTGCTCAGCTGATTAAAGCGGAGACCCTTGGCGACCAGAACTTCCTTGAGAGTTCGTTGATCGTCCTTGATCATTATACTCGTTGGAACATTAAAAACAGCTCCAGCTGCTTTGGATTGTGTTCAGATTGTTTCCAACGTCATTTGCTTAAGACAAAGATAGACAAAGTCATTCATGATCTACAAACAAATACAGATACTGTATACATAGAGTGAGAGAGATGATTCGCAGAAAGTCTTGTTTAAGCATGGTGAACCTGCATGCACCAACACAGACAAACTGAAAGAGAGCCATCCGTGCTGATCGAGTGGCTCATCAGGTTGCAGGGCCCCAGGGGAACTCATCTCAAGGCTGTTTTGGAACCCGGTGATCTGATAGGGCAGCCTAGGGGAGTCCTGAGATGCATGTTGTTCCTCCCCTTGGTTAATCAATCCATCAATGACAATGGCGTCGAAGTCATGGTGAAACCCATCCCAACACTCCATGGTCTGGCATAGTTGCCGATCAGTTGGGGTGTTTTCAGGGGTCAATGTAGGTAAACATGCCATACATAGAGTGTTTGGGCATGGATACATTCTTGGTTGGCAAGTTCGAAATCCAACTCCCAGTGCCAAGCAGATCTCACACATTCTCACACCGCGTAGATCTGTGTGGGATGGTGCGGAACGCTGGCATCTGAAAAAGAACCCCTCACCAGGCAGCTCATGTAGACCACAGCAGCTCCATCCTTGATTGAGAGCATCAAGTATTCTTCCTGGTTTAGGTTTGATCAGGTAACCGTTTCCTCGATGTTTGCCGTGTTCAAGCTCCATGGATATGCGTAGTAGAAATGCCCTTTGTTCCTAGTAGCGTTCTTGTTACTAGTAGTAAGGCCAGGAGCCCCTAGTATCACCCTTTCTCCTAGGTACGACGACTGGAAACAGCTGGGTCTGGAGAACTACATCTATCGTGTGGATGACGCTTGGACCATCCACGGAACGAGTGGATCGGGGGGGGGGGCGAGTGGATCAGTGATTTGGATGGCGAGGCCGGCGGTCACTTGTCCCAGGTTCTGTGAGTTTTTTTGGGTTCTGATTCTCGGGTCAAATACTACAGGTCATTGCAGGTCAAATCCTGTTTTCGGAAGGAAGGCAAAAGGTGGATACTCCTTCGGAAGGAGAAAAACAAGATGTTTCTGCAATATGCTTGCAGTTTGTGAAGACCACTTGCCCAGTGGCAATTTTTGTCTATGGCTCTGCCTTGCATCGCCGGTTGCTATGCTCGACATTGCATATCAGGCAAGGCGTCTTTGGGCTGTGGCTGTGATTCACTTGTACCACTTAGCAGTCCGCGGCGATTGCATTGATTAACCCATGTCCACAGAATAGTTGGTAATTATCGAGGTCTTATCCTTTGAGACATCAGATCCATTCTTGTCCACTTCCGAATGGATCGCACTATAGTGGAATTTGACATGTTACTGTACAATATTATTCAGCAAGTAGGTCCCCTCAGGTTGACATGGAATCTATCTCAATTGACCGCGTGGGGGGGATATTTAGAATGCTGCAGTCTTTCGATCCAAACAGCAATAAGTGGACATGACAGACACATGGCCGCGTCTGTGATATCTTCACAGGGCAGCACTCTACCACACAGAGGGGAGTGGTGTTTTGAGTGCTATGCCGGACTCCAGCAAGGCAGGCCGGTCAAAGAAGCCAAGTTCAAAATCACGTGCGACAAGTGTCATGGAAGTATGTATGGGTGCGAGGACCATTCTGCTCTGATCAAGTGCCCCGCATGCGGTCCAGGGGTCTATATGCACCAGAATCCTGCCAGTTGCTACTCCGCAAGCACCACGACTTCCGATGATGTTGCCTTTGGGTTGCTTAGTGATGCCAAGATAAATGGCTTAGAGGGCTGGTTAGCATCCCTCTCCTTGCAGAAGTACGTTCATGCAGCGGTTTTATGGTGCCATGAGCAAGGTGCATCATCTTTGCAAGAAGTCTTTGAGCATTGGACAGATTTTGCAGAGGCTCTTTCACTGAAGCCATTGGAAAAGGATCGTGTCTCAAAATCTGTCCAGGCGCCGATAGCTGGAGGAACAGCCGGCACCTGGAACAGGGTAACCTTGCACACTGTGCATGAGGAACCAGACTATTTCGACTGGTGGTCCGACCCAAGGGAAGGTGATTATTATCATGAAGAAGATCATTATATTTACAGCAAGCCTGATCCTGATCTATTTGGTGACCATGATGACGCTCATCAACTCGATCATGCAGACATTGATTATGGCCCTGATGATGACGCATGGTTTGAGCCTGATGTGGGAGGATATTCTGATGCTGGCTGGTTTGAGCCTGATCCGGGAGGATATTCTGATGATGGCTGGTGAGACAACACAGCCTTGCTTGCTTACGTATAGTTTGTCAGGCATTCTGCATTCTTATGGAGGCACAAGGACTCCTATATAGTCAAGGTGAATGCCCACAGAACGAGTGGATCAAATAGCGAAAATAGAACGCCTTCAAATAGGTTGCTGTGAGTGACGTCTTGGTGCTAAGACAGGCCTTGTGGCTCAATCAGTGCTCAACCCGGTTCCCAATGTTTATACCAGATTGCAAGCAAACTCTCGGGTTAGTGTGCTTTGAGAGCCCTTGAGGACAGGACCTTCACCTCCAAGTCTCCCGTGGTCGCAGCCACTCACTCCAAGGTTTCCCTCGGTTCTAGTTGTCACGCATTGGTTGCCATCACTGGCCATGACAGCAATTCTTTCGAAGAAAACCCTTGTTTTGCGACCCCCAAGCGGTCGACCCTTCCACATCAGGAGAAGCAGAAGGCGGTGCTATTGAAGTTGAAAGGCCGGAGAAAAAACACACACACCGACGATTTCCGAGCGCCGGAGGTCGGCTTTTTCATCGTCGGAAGAGCTCTCATGGTTGTCATGTGACTGAGCGAACTGGAGAGATGATGTCCACTTCCTCGAGCGAACTGGTGAGGATTTACAGTTTTTGTGATGCATCGTGAGGGGCTAGTAGTTTGGAAGAGTGTTCCGTGTTCCCCATTCCAAACCAAGCATGGACCCTATATGGACTCTATTAAATAATTTCATTTGGCAACCAAACCAGGGGATGTGTGAACATGTTGTTTCAATGTTGCACTCTTGCAGTATTTACATTTACATAGGGATGGCCCTTGAGGACCGCGCCCTTTGTAGGACTCCCACCATTCTTTCGCCAATCTCTCGTCTCTCCCAGATGACCTTTGCTATGGTATGGTCGACTTCATGGAGAAGGTGCAAGCAGTGTCTCGGAAAGCACAACGTGAGGACCAGGCCCCGGGTGTCCGATAGCACAGATATGGAAGGCCGCAAGGCTCCGCAAGATCCGGATAAAGCCGGGTTTAGTTTTATGAAACACAAGAGTGATGTACGTATAGTTGGTGTGTTCAACAACAGCTTTCTCCAGATCCTAGGTTGCTTGCCGACCCCTAGGCAGATGAGAGAACTGAGCAAAATTATCTTGAACTTGCATTCTGCTTGGAACAAAAGGAGCAATGTATTTTTTTTAAGATGTGAATGGGCACAACGAGTAAGTAGCAACTCCACAAACATTGTTGTTTTGAAAAAACGATAAACAAACGCAGGTATCACTTTTACTAGTTCTAGGCACCTAAAGACGTTTTTGGTGCCTCAATCAATCCACCGAAAGTAGTTGGACGTACTGAAGACAACCTCCAAGATAATCATGTGACGCTTCAGCATCCAACGAGGAAGCCATTTTGTTCGCAAGCGCCCCCCAAGCGGTGGAAGTTGAGATTTGATGTGTGAAGGACAACAGCATTGTGTCCCTCCACCTGACTTATGGACGACATAAAGACCACACACATATTAACATATTATGTATATTTATTTACCATTCGTCCGGCAATATGTGTTTTGTTGAGTGGCTGTAGCAGGGCTTAAATTCACATTCACATTCACTTCATGAGGAAGTAGAATAGCCTAACGTCCAGTTCCTCCCAAGATTATCTCCGTGGCGTGCCATGAACTCCACTTCTTATATGTACGTCAGCACCAAATCTCGTTCCTATTCATAGCTGTACTCACCAGGAGAGTTTGGCTCAGCCCGGTGATTGAAAGCTTCTGGAAGATGCACCCTGAGCACAGGGGTCATGCCAAACGGTCCGCATTGGTGAAGCCGGTCCACTCATTGCGATCGACCATGCCAAACGGACCCTTTTTCAACGTTGATGTTCTTCTTTTGGTGTTTCGGGAAACATGCATACGTACTGACAAATGTGTTTGTTGTTACTGACAAATGTGTTTTATTGTCTTTTTGTATGTGTTTGTTACCTGCAAATAGTATTTGTCTCCATTGCTTGATGACACCTCTTGGTGACACCTCTCCAGTGTTTGTCTTCGTCTTCCAATTCCGGAAGACACCGGAAGACACCCTCTTGCAAGGTGGAGACGGCCAACCCAGCTCTTCGAGATCCCATGTTCTTGTGGCACATGTGGCAGGATCGACTCCCCGACGACCCGCGGAAGCCTTTTCAACCGGCGACCGCATGAGTGAGTGAGTGAGTGAGTGAGGGAAGAAGACGGATGAAATTTGGACTGGATGTGTCACAGGAAGAACTGCGCAACTAAGAACAGCTGCGACAGACCACACGGCGACGTACACAGCATAGACCGTCATAAACCCGCACAGTTTAGATTGAGAAAGTACCTAGCATGCACTCTTTGGTTTGTTACTTTGTTGTTTCCAATTGTATCCAATGTCCAATTCCCGTGGGCCGTGTCCTCCTAAGAAAGCAACAAATCAGAACATATAACAGACATCCAGCGTTTTGGACTCGCTCAGGAGTCCTGGGGCGCGGTTCGAGTCTTCGTCAAGGTCACCACACAATGCAGAGTCTCCTGGCACGGTGTTCGAACAGACCGTTGTTGTGGGAAACGAACATGCTGAGCTTCCTACTGCGGACTGCTTCCTACACCACCATGTTCTTGACATTCAGCCGACGGTCAGGCATTGGATCGGAGACGATAGGATGGGTTCATTTCAGAGATTCGAAGCCCCTTTGGCTGGGCTTTCTCAGAGACCCAGAGTTTGGGGAAGATTGGGCCATCGACTCTTTTGCTTGAAAGAAATTAATTATATAAACTCTCTGGAGAAGGACCGTGTGGTGGGAATTCGGAGATCATGAGGCCCAAACAGAGGAGATTGAAACTCTCCCAATATCTCCTTCTGCTCATCTCCTTTGACAGAATAAACTTAAGAAAGATCATTTGAATTTATCGTGCATGGAATGGATGGAGTCTTGGGTAACTTGTGCACTTGAAATCACTTTAACGCCACTCTGGAAGCATCGCTCTTAAAAGGCCCTTCTGAGACCGATTTGTCATATTGAGACTGATCTTAAAGGCTAGTGAGTAGGCGACATCGGTTAAACATGGTTGAACAAGGCGACGAGGTTTGCTTCGCTCCGCTTCGCCGTTTCACCATGACACCCACTGAGCCACTGAGATCGAGATCCCCAAGGGCGAGGATCCCAACTCCTTCATGACGCGCATCCATCAGGCGCTTTGACCGGTGACGCGAGAACTGGAGTGCGGCTCGCACTCTCAATCTCGAAGAAACGCAACAACTTAAGCTTAAGTGAGATGAATTGAATTTGTACACATCAAAAGTAAGTGGGGTTGCTTTGTTATGTCCAAGCATTGTGAACCGTTGTTGGACTTGAACATTGTTCGTCTCCCATTGCTGCATCGCGCAGAACAAGTGGAAGAAGTGCAAGGGAGCCTTTCATTTCAAAGAGGACGAATTCCCCTCGGCGGTGATGCTGCTTGGAGGAGTTGTTCAATTTGAGGTTGGTCGCGAAAGCAAGAGTCAAAAAAAAGTTTTCCTCAGAATAATAACAATAACTAATAACAATTAAGTAGCTTAGCATCTATATATTGAATTATATTGATATATCCAAAAAAAAACAATATATATATTTATTTATTAATGAAAATGGATCCACCTTTATCAAGGAAATGTAAAGCACGGAACTGCAGCTCCCTTGGATTCGTCAATCGGCGCCCCTGGCCACGTATAGCCTACAACCATGGCAGGAACCATGTGGTTTGGTGACATTGGAGCGCATGGTTTATCCATTGCTTTGGGTCACTGCACTCCCAAATGGTCTACCACACGCAAACAACCAGTCATGACTACCAGAGAACCGAGGTCTTGTGCACGCTCGGGTGAAGAAGATCCGAGTCTTTTCGGGAAAGATAGGCGCGGGGAAAGACGATCAGAAAGACGATCAGCAGGGACTGGCACTACAGATCCAAGCGTTCAAGAACTGCAGGATCATATGATTCTTTGTGAACGCATGGCTATATAATGCTATTTCTATACTATGTGGGAGCAACGGACAGCCAAGTGGACCCACCGGCCTTACGGAAATCAGTTCAAGGCGTATTTCTTGGGGAGATCAGGCAAAAAGGGCTCAACTACAGTGATAGCTTGAGTCTGTCCTCTTGCCTGAGTCAGTAAACAAGTAGCCAAATTCTAAGCGAAAGGCCTTTACTAACCATCATCATGCACTGTTACTGTTACTGGTAATAGGATAGACCCAATTTATTTTATACATGTATACCACAATTTCAAAAAATATGTCCGTATTTCCCTCGCGATTGGGGCACATGTAGCGATCACCCTTTCTTTCTAATTTTGTTACATGTTACTACTAGTTACTAGCTACACCATAGCACACCAGTTATCTTCCCTTTTCCACACTGTCAATCTATCCTCTTTTGTCCTCACCCGCCAGGAACCGTGTGGTCCGCTACTTCGGCTGCGGGAAGAACCGTGTGAACGTCGAGCCGCCGGTGGACAAGGGCGTCACCGAAAGCTGCATGCAGACGGATGACCCGGAGGTGAAGAGCTTCATGTCGCCTGGCGATGACCGGAGAGGCTGTTGGTCTCCTTGGTCGGACGCTGCCGGTCGGGATGAAACGAAACACACGCCACGCGAGGTATACGATGTGCCCGCAAAATGGCATCAGCACCAAGAGCTGCCGATTGCAACCGGGCTGCAAGGCGAAATAGCAGCTGGTGTTTGTTTTTGACACAAGAACTTTCATTTTGGACCCAATCCTTTTTCAAGACCTACTTGAGCTGTTCAAGCTTTGTTGATCAGTATTTCGATTGGTTGCAAGAGCGGACCAGCAATTGCAAAACAATTATAACATATATATATATATACTGTATATATAAGAGAGTCTCCTCGCATGTCCTTGCTCCCCGTACTTCGAAAGCCTTAAGACAATTTATTGGTGCACATCCGGCGCTATGGTTTCAGCCGCTTTTGAAGTGTAGCAGCTTTCAGCATTGTCAATATGTTCATTTGTGTGGCGGCTATAGTATGTGCAAAACTCAAGCGATGAACTGTGGTTTGTAATGATTTGTAGGGGCTCTAAAGGTCCTATATTCTGAACCGTGTAGAGAGATATAGAGTGATCATTGAGTTTCAGGCAGGCACTGAGGACTGTGCTACTGGACCAGGGGCAAGAATGTTCACGATCGGTTGACCAGGACAAGACACTTCTCTTCTCAAGTCCTTGTGTGGATGGCACTCACTCCTTTCAAAATCTTTCAAAAGGAGGCACGGGCTTTGCGCATATGACCCATTGGTTACCTCAGTTGAATGATTTATTAACTTGGACCCTTGGTTCCCCTAGCGGGTTTACGGAAGAAGTACATACAGCGAACAAGAAAGGTTGGAGAAGCAGCCAAGCAATTCGGAGAGAGGCGCGTCTTCGACTGAGGTACGGCCCCTTCTGGGGTGTCTACAGCCATCCGGCCTTCTCTTTGTATGGTTACCACAGCCTGGAAGAGAAGAAGGATAAATCCTGTTTCAGCTTCAGAGGTTTTGACTACCTCGAAGACTCCAGGTAACATGTCTTGTGGCTTGTTGTTGTTGAACCCCCCGGGACGGACATCGTGACATGGTGCTGGTTTGCAGCTTGACAAACCTGAAGACATCCTTTGGAATGACGTGTGGACCCTTGGTGGTTGACTTCAGGCTGGAACAAGCACACGCCTACGGTCATCTACTGCATGTATATGCAGCTGGTAGTAGTGAAGGTAAGTGGCGATGCAGAGGTTGGAATTACAGATGATGTGCAACGCTCTGCAACCACCTAGGAACCATTGCAATCCTTTCTTCATTATACTTTCCCATGGTTGGGATTTAGGTGCACATCTATCATGTGACATGCAACAAGCATCCCAGCAACTGTCACCAAAAGTGCCCGGCAGGAGTGTGAGCAGAAGAGGGATGATGGTGCACCACCTGCTGAACAATGCCCTGAGCCACAAGTATCTCAGTTCAATCGCTGGATAGCAGGTATCGGTCAAGGTGCCTTGCGCATGCGAAGCATCGATTCCTTTTTTTGCAATGTCAAGTCCCGTGGAGAGGGATGCTATTTATGGTAAGACCGCAGTGACCGCTTGGAGACCTGAGTAAACACGTGGGAGGACCTGATCAAAAACATGTATTTTTGCCGCGTTGGAATCCGTAACTATTTCATACTTTTCTCAGACGCTACAGAAGTCCTACGAGAATTGTCGCATCAGCCAGTACTAGAACTGGGCCGATGGGTATCGTCAGCTTTTTTGCTCGTCCAAAACCAACGTATTAACTGTATAGGTGTACAGATATGGACAGATCGTAATGGCATACTTGGGTGATTGATCAATCCTACTTAATTATAATATTTAACTTATTTAGTAGTATCCACCCCTGATAATCCTGATACCAGGAGACAAACACCCCACCAAACCCGGGGACCTACGAACCCTCGTCGTCATCCGAACCGTGTACCGAGGCCGTGGCCTTCCGCGAGCAGGCCAACGTGGCGATGGCGGCGCCGACCTTAGTTGACTCCGCTGGACGGATGTTTGATTGTACTAAAAGTATGGCTGGATGTGTGTGTGTATATGCATCTCACTTGACTTATTTTGCATCTCACTTACTTGACTTATTTTGGGGGGATGATTGGTTTGTTGTTTGTTCTTTGTTTGTTTTCTGAGTATAAGTATTGCTTGGGAATGAACCTGATCTTCCACTTGACGACATTCCTTGGGTGTGGCTGATATTCACATGCAGGATTGGCCTTTGACCATCCGGCCCAACCATCCAAAAGCGCAAAAAACATCCCTTGTTGAGACCCGGGGGGGCTGGCGGTTGAGACGAGTCCTCCAGAGTCCTTCAGTTTGCTCTGACGTTTGCGGACGTGCAGTCTGGACTGGTGGTCGCCGCAGTCACGGTCGCTGTCGTTTGAGGACTACATTTATGGCACGCCACCGCCTTTGACCATTTCCAGAAGCAGAGCATGGCAGCAGGGCAACCGAAAGGTCACTGAGAGCAGTGGCTTTGGCTGAATGAAATCGATCCTGAACAAAAGATTGTCAATGCATCAACGACCAAAGACCTCAAATACCGACTAATCAAGTTTGGATTGAGTTCAGGCACCTGAACTGACTTGCTGAATTTTGATTGAGTTCGCCATTACAAGAATGCGGAGAGTATCGGAGAATTGTTTTCTCTATACACCAGTCCGCATGGACACACCAGTCCGGCAGACAAGCCACTAAGTCAGAGGGGGAACCCCATGCACCTCCAGGGCAAACCATCAATCTTTATCATCCCTTGAAAACTTGGAGATGCTGTGGTGCATAGATGCCACACATGACTCACATGACACATGTTTCCACCTGTTTCAACCAAGTGACATCCATCATTCATGGGGGGGGCGCAGCGAAGGATGACCGGATGAATGGGATTGAAAGGGAAACCTAACCCGAAGCAGATCGGCCAAGAAACAAACATGCCTAGGCTGGATCCCGGAGGATATGGCCTATCCCTTGCCACAAGACCGGCAGCTGGATCCACCTCTGTGGGAGATGCTCAGGGAGGCAGATCTGAGTCAGCTGAGCATAGCTGACAGCATCAACACATCGTGCAACCATGTGCAACCGGAAGGGCTGGTAGATGTTCATGGATTTCTCTCACTGTCCAGATGATCTCATACAGTCATACACTGTCATACGCTGTCATGCACCATGTTTTCCTACCCGGCCCCACCCCTCCCAACATGGCCCGAGTCGACCAGGCCGAAGTGGGTGAAGGCCTTATGATGATCAGCTACGGCTACTCCGGGGCTGGGAAGACCACCACCCTGTGCCTTGGACAGACCGCAAAACCCGGAGCGAGGACTCCATTAGACCATGTTAGGCCTTGGTCGGGTGTGTTTTTTGTGTATTCAATGGTTTTGTTCGATGACTTGTTCTGTGAACATCGATGTCCGATCTGCTTGGTTGGACTAAGAGGTCTTTAGTCTTCTCCTCTGCAGATGTTTGACAGTGGAAGTGCCCAAGAAATCACCGTCACCTCCCATGAGTCAATGTGAGTCTATGTGAATGGTCTTTGGAGGTCATGGAGGTAATTTGCCAAGGCCTTTGGTTTGGGTGCATTGTTGAGCTCATTGAGCTGATTGCTGTTGCTGTTTTGACGTTCACCAAAAGCATTGTCATATTAGATTGGAAGCACTTGAAAGAAGTAGACGCTTGGTATGTTGAATTACCTTTGAGTTTTTTTGAATATATTACGTATAGAATGTTTCCATTGGGTTCTAGAAAGTGTTCTAGCAGCACAGTCAGTAATCGAATGTAGTCGACATAAATAAACAGAACACAATCATGTGCAGGTTCATGTTAAAAGCTCCCACAGACATGTTTGTGCCACTCACACACCTTATCATAATGTCGTTGATGCAGCGATGCAGTTATTTATATGCTGCTTGATTGATTGAAAGACCTATTGGCTCATAGACTATTGTCGGGAGCCGTTGACGTATTGTCTTGAAGATGTGACACCCGAAAGACCACCAAAAGGTTTCATATATGGTTAGATCTGGCATAACTCATGGTTCTTTTGGTTCTTTTCCAAAAAGGCCATCCAAATCCTTCGAAAAAACGCATTCGAACGTGCTGAACATAATAGATGTGTGCATGGTATGAAGGACAATTGGGGTTTTCCCTTGGCTTTGTTGAAGAAAGACATGGCTCCGTTGCCCAAGGATCGGCGACGCGACCGCGCCGGTGGGCGGCGGCCGGGGTATCGATGGGGTCTTGTCGCTCTACTTGAAGGAGAATGCGAGAAAGATCGATGAAGCTTGGAGGAGTTGCTTCGTTTTCGTCAGGATTTCCGAAGGATTTCGGAAGTCTGAGAATTGGCCGGTGGATGCCGGTGGTGGTTTCGACCATTGTCCTTCATTCCAACCCTTCCATGTTCATTTGCAGGGGAGTAAGTGTGACCTCTTGAGGGCCTTGATTGATCAGGGACCCTGCCTTTTTTTTTGATGCAGACCTCTTTTGAGGAAGCAGGGTCAGGAAGAATTCTTCCCAAGACCCTGCCACAAAGGGACCCTGCTTCTGTGGCGAGCTTCGCTCTTCGCTGCGTAGGTCGCTCTAGTCTGAACACGTGTTGGGCTTTTTTAAGCCGCTTCTTCAAGCGTGTTGCGTGTTCATTTGAAGTGGGGAGGACGTGATCCCTTGGTGTTGGAATGTGTTGGAATAGGAAGGGTGTGGGGGAACAGGACTATATCATGTTATGTTCACGAGAAACAACATGATATGCGTGGTAGGTGATGATTGGTGATGGTTCAATGGATCAGCTGGCTGGGTCCGTCCACTTTGTTTTCGTTGCTCTCCAACTTAAAACTCACATGGTGTCAGACACAAAGGAACCCCCATGAACAAGCTGATCGTGCATAAGTGGGCCCTTGAAGTGTCAATCAACAAATGGTGATATTCAGATCTTCAATGCAGTGCTTCCAGAAGCACAAGTCAGATGCTCCAGAAACGCCATGAAAATCCGGCGGAATCAGAAAACCCATCCTGGTCTGATCCTTTCCGTTGCGCATCAGACCCTCCCTGGGTTCCTCCGTTGGCCATTCAGTCGTGCGTTTGGCCATTCACGGGCACGGCTTCAGAAGCGCCGATGTACACCCACATCGGCTAGGCAGGTACACCTCAAAATCAGTGAGTGGAAATGGACATGTGACATGAACAACAAACAAACAATATTAGCACAACTATTCTTTGTTTGCCTTAGTAAAATGGATGTCGGACAATGATTTGAGTGTTTTTCTTTCCACACCACAGTGCCACAAAACAGACACATGCTACACATACCCGCTCGATCCTGGTGTTCTTCGCTCGCTGAGGACGTGCAGGTGCGCATCTTCGAGGCTCATCTCGAGAGCGCGGAAGGGTCGTTTCTGCACTGACAACGGGAATCTATTTGTTGGCGGAATCACTAGAACCGGAATCAACGGAAATCTCAAGAGTTTCTTTTTGTTACTCGTTTTTTCTGAGGAATCTATCGGAACTTGATTGTTACTATAGCATACTTAGTTGCTGCTACTTGCTACAATGGAGAAGCAAGCTCACATTTCTAGATTCACTAGATTCACTACATCAATTATTGACATGCAGTTGATGACAAGAGCAGTGACTGACACTTGTTCTTCCCATGACTACTTGGATGATCATACGTCTTCTTCTATGTCTATGTTTGTGACTTGGCCCAGGAGTTTGTCCTGAAGCAACATACGGTTCGTCGTTGTATGTTATGTTGTTATCCTCGTCATGTGACTCAACAATTTGTTTGAGGCATCCAACAAATTGAGTCGTTTTGGGTGTGTTTCCTAGTCCATTCCATGCATGTCCATGCACTTAAAAGCACTGTGTTGCCCTCATTGCCCTCCCATATGCAATTTCAATCAACCAATATTGTTGATCCTTTGCCAGTGTCAGGATTCCTGATTTGATTCGCTGGAAGATCTACAGATATGATCCCGTGCGTCATCTGACATGTCACCTGCGGCAAGGTCTATGGCCGTGTGAACGCCTACAACGGGCGCATGCAGAAGAAGACTGGCAGTGGGATCTGGGGCTACAACCTCCGTGAGAAGGCCCCGTCTGAGCGGATATCCTGTCAGGATCATGGCTTTAGACACAACTCCATCTCCAGGAGAATCTGGCAGAAAGAACCAGAAAGGGGAGTAGTTTCTGTCTCAAGATGAAGAATTTGGAGAGTTGTCTAAGTTGTGTTTTCTTCTACTAGTGTCTTTTAGGGAGTTCTCTTTTTGTTGAGGCAAATCCTTTGGAGAGTACCTAAAGCCAGGGAGAGTGCATCCATAGCATTTCCCTTTGATGTGAGATGGATGAGAAAGCATTTTGTCAAAGCTAGTGAAACTGAAGGTGGAGGTAACAAGAAGAGGAAGAATCGGATAGCATTTGTTGCTGGCGTTCAAGACTTCGTGGATGCATGCTCATGCCAGAGGACATGTTTCAGAGTTGTCCTTTTTTTGGACCGGAGGCACTGGAAGGATGGAAACCGTTGATATCCCAGGATCCCCAGCGTCACCAGCTAGGGGGCCAACACAATACTTAGATCATTTTAGAATTCACAATGCCTTGGCTGCACTGCCGAGACCTCCACTTACCTGGGCGATTCAACGGCGTTTGAAGACGACGAGGGTGTCTTGGACGAAAAGACTTTTGGTTGTCCAGTGGCTGGTGGACGGGGCTAGAATACTCCTGAAATGCAAGAAGCAAGTTATGTCTTGGAAAAGCCTCGAGTCGCATTTGGAGTTGGAAATGTGTTTCCCCCCCTGCCATACTAGTTGCAACGTATAATAGTGTTTGTTGAAGTTCATTTAATCCTTTGTGAAAGCCCGAATACACTGGCATGAGAGTCCGGTGAATATGTCTCTTAGGCTGCCATTTTCTAAGCAACGAAAGGAAGAAAGAAACAGTCGCGGATTCATAAGATAGTCAGCCCTGCTGCCAAGTGGATTCGACACTTTGAACACTTGCCACACAGCTAGCTCCACTCGGTTGGAGAGGATCCCTAACCCGAACCATGCGGCACAAAAGGTGGCTTCTGGCTTGAGGAACATGGTGTAAACTGCACAGTGCACTCCTCTATGTTTGGGAAATCGTCTATTTTGCACTGGACGGATTCCACGATCGAGGTGAAGGCAATCTCGACCTCCCCAAGTTGGAAGCTGCTTTGAACAACGATGAGTTCACATTTAGCATCAAGGCGACTCCCAGACCCCAAACGAAGTCGCCGCAAGTCGCTGAAGTCGCGCGGAGGCTTAGCGGTGCAACCTCCACCGTTTGTGGCTCTATGTTAAAGACCCTTTTGCGGGGTGTTCCACCGTCCGGTCGTCTGAAAGGGATCTGTCAAGGCTGGTCTTGGTTGTCAAAGGAAATCGTTTGGAGAACCTCAAGGTTTTGGCCTCATTGCCAATAATATGGTACAGTAATAGTTTTGTTGAAGCCTCCATATATATATATATATTATGATTATGAGGATCAATGATGGCTCTGTTGCATTCATCATGGGCACTGAGCTGTGATACAGTTGCAGCCACTCATATGGGGTTTAGTCGATGGTGGGAAAAGCAGGAACGTTCCGGAAGGTGAGCAGTTTTTCACCGGAGATGAAGTGGTTCATCGGTCATCCAGAAGGTTGGTTCATGTTGGTTGGGATTCTTTGGGTGAACCGGCCCATGACCAGTGACAGTCGGTAAAAGAGTATCACTATTTTTGAAGAAGGCCTTTACTATTCTATAAATCTCATCCACTGGACCCTGGTGGGATAGACCCAAGGGATTCTCCGTTTGGGTCGGCGTCGGTCGTTGGGGTCCGGCGGGTTTGTGCGGGCAGATGCCCAGCCAGGCCTTCCGTGGGCAGTTCTTCAAACCTTTTCGGGTTGGAAAAACGAGAAAGACCACCCGACCTCACGTTCCAAACGAAGGGTGGATGGCAGCCAGTCGCTGTATGTCGGAGTCGGATGACACTTTCTTTTTCCTCAGTAACGCAGGGGAGTGGAACACTTGATGTTAGTGTGAATCGGAGTGTAGATCGTGGACATTTTGCTTCTGATCTCTTGTAGGGTGTCTTTGCAGATTTGTCTCTTTGTCACTTTGACCCAGCCTGTTTCCCTGATCTGACTCTAATCTCATCCAAAAAGTTGTTTGTTTTTGTGCAGATGATTTCATCATGGTGAATCGAGTAACCAGAGAATTTTGGCCAGGAGTGTTCACCAGATCTTGTACTTGTGGACACCGATATTATATATATACCCCAGAAAACGAGTGCGCAACGACAAACACAATCACACACGAAAGCACAGGAAGACCTTCCCCCACACCCTTAAAACCAAACAACAACATGGAATTTCCATCATTTTTGTGGCTTCTCATCATCTTCAGATGATTGGCTGCCTGTTTTGGTTTTCGTATCGCCAGACCGATGACCATCGGCCAGGCCCAGACGCCGCCCTCTCTGAGTGGATCCATCGCGTGGCATGAGCAGGTGAAGGAAGTGCTTACAACCATTGAGGCGGCTCAAAGCATCAACTGCAGGTTGGTGGAAACAATATTGTTGTTTTTCTCTGCCAAGCGTTGGCTGGGTCTTTTTGTTGTGCTTTTTGGTGTGGGTTTCGTGTCGTCGTTGGTCATTTGTGATTGTTGGATTTGTTGGTTTTGTTGTTGCTGCTTTGAAAAGGTGCTGTTCCTTTTGACCAGTTTCCCTTTTGACCAGGACCAGGACCAAACATAAAAGAAGCATTCCTAGAAAGAATCATAATCAATGTGAACCAACGCATGTGACTTTCTGTTTGGTTTGGCCCAAGTCAAATATTCCATGATCAAAGTGGTCTTAGAGGCTATTCAATTTTCAAAATGAACATGGCACCCCAAAACCACAAGGCTGTAGAGGAAAATGATCTTCAACGGGTCAATTCTCAGGTTGCCCATGGGATTGTGTGGGGGATGAGCAATCTTCAAGGCCTTGTTGGGGTCACTCATTCCCACGGATTCAGGACATCCGCCTGGACGAGGATCAGTTCAAGGCAGGTGGTGAGCCCATCGCACACATCCGCCGCTTGGAGAAGGAGATGCCCCCGAGGAGATCGCAGTTTTCAGGTTCTGATCGCAGCTTTGGGCTTTTTGGAGGACCTGTTCTTATCAAACAGATCCCAATCCGTTCGTGCGGATCCCTTGCAGATGTGCCGCTGACAGAAAACATCCGCAGAAAACATCCGAAGGCGCCCAACAGTCGTTTTCACCTCGGGAGATGCGCATGCGGTTTTCCTCGCGGCAGATGTCCGGCGATTGAAGTCCTCTCTTTCACTTCAGGAGACATGGTTTCCTTCTGTATTTGTTGGGCGTCCAACCAGGAATTGGCGAAGCCCAACAAGCGATTTGAAGAGGTTGCAATTTTAATGCATTTTTGAAGACATAAAGCACGGACAGGTGTCACACTCGCCACTTTTTGTTGAGAACTAAAGACGATACCAAAAGTCTCTGCTTCATGCAAGTAAAATAAGGTACATCAATCCTATAGGAGTTTCTTTGGTTCATTTTCCTGGGAGGCTCTGTCCCAGTACTTCATCGTTCGCCGAAAAAACTGACTGCCATCCGAAATTCACCCCGCCCCCATGGTTCCTTCCCATCGTCGATGGCACGACCAAGGCGGCACGGTGAACAACCCCAAGTCCTCCCGCGGAACGCTCTTCGTACTGACCAACGTCTATTTCAAGTCAGGCCCAAAGCGATCAAGAAATCAGGTCTGTCAGGTCTGTGTTTTTCTCCACCAAACGACCTTTTCCTGCGTTTGCGATAACTTTCGTGCCCTGGGTTGTTTGGACATATTAAAATAGCTTCAGTGATTCCTCAGGGATGTCAAGGGGTCAGTGGTTGACCTCCTCACGGTCCTCACATGTCAGGTTGAGTTTCTCATGTGACATATTGTGTGGACCGTGGACCTGTCTAAGATTGGAAGCAGGGCAAGTGTGCGTACCATCAACTGCAACATCAAGAAGATGATGATGAAGAATAAGATGAAGACAAAGAAGGTGATGGGAAGAAACATGATGAAGAAGAGGATGAAGAACCAGAAACATCATGGTTAACTCACCATGTGTCGCCGGTCATCCGCCATCGGCATCCCGGTCACCACCCGCCCAGGCGTCATGGCGCCGATCTCCACAGTGGACCTCGCAGGCTCCGAAGATCCGGCAGTGGTGGAGCCCAGTGATTTCGGGGGGGTGGTGGGTGTCAGGGAGAAGAGAGCGGAGGAGGGGGAAGGTTTGAGAAAGTAGTTTTTATATGTTCAGTCATCGGAAGTACGTGATGTAGGTTGGGGGGGATGGTTGCTTGGTGTGCTTGGTCAGCTGGTGGCGACTTGGGGTAATTGGTTGGTTGGAAGGCGTGCTCAGAAACGGTCGGTTTCACCCCCCCAAAACAAATCACCAGATGTTGAATTAGTCACTAATTCAACATCGTGCAACATCTCAAGACTGCTAAGTGATATGTAATTGCATGTATATAATTCCTTTGTTCCTTGATTCTGTTTTGGGGTCCCTCCCCCTTGCCTTGCCAAGCAGCCTGAGGTCATGGTCTCCGGCTTCTTGCAGTTCAAGCTGAATCCAGGCAGCTCTTCTTCGACCTGCGCGACGGATCAGCGGTTCTTCGGCATGGCGAGTCATTCCGCGAAACCCAAAGTGATTGGCTTTCGGCCGTGCGGTGATATGAAAGGTGTGGGTGAACGAGGCAGATATTTCAATTGCACAAGTGACTAGTGTGTTTGCTTCAGATCTTGGGATGTTGAAGCCAAAGTCATTCTTTCATGAAGACTTAGAGCCGCCAGAGGAAATTGTGTGGTGTTTCTAGTCAGTTTAGAGTGGCATGGTTGAAGGTTGTTGCAGACCAAATGGATGAACTTGCCACCCTTGTGTGCCTTCGGTGCCCTATGCCCTTCTCAAGGTGTGTTTTCCATCGTGCCAGCCTTCTCTGAGATAACGCATCAGGGACAGTGACAGACCTCTTGGAATCAGTTTGGAAGTCACTGACTAATGACTCTGGTACTCTTCTATCATCTTCTATCAATACTAATGCTCTAGTGACTCTAGATCCCTATTGGGAAACAACTACAGTATACTTCCCTCCTTTTCACCCTTCAAATGCGACTTGCCAGGCGTGCCGGAATGTGATCCTGAGTCTGGGAAGCAGCCATCAGACCTGATGAACATGCCCCTCAGTGATGAACATGCGACAAACCTATGGAACTTGTTTTGGAGGTGAGGAAATGTCGAGCTAATCGGATCTTCCAGGGGTGAAAGACACTTATAATAAACTTTGAGAAGGGATTCAGATTTGTCTTTCCCTCAGGCAATGAACCCTGCTAGCACTAGGTGTGAATCCATTTTGCCATGTGACAGTGGCTGTTCAGTCTAAACACCACAAAGGAGTGATTTCGTCGAAGGAACAAGTCACGTGAAGTGGAGACAAATTACATGGACATACCTAGATCTTCAGTCCGGCACTTTTACAGGGTCCGGCGCCGGACTTCCAACTCCGGCGTTTTTCTGGATTTGGTCCGGCGGTTTTTCCAAGTCACTTGAAATGTGGATTCTCAAGGCTTTGCATTCTTTGTGGCTTGCATTTCTTTGAAGGTAATGATTTGCTTGCAAAGTGTGCTCATTTGCCTGTTCCGCTGTTTTCTCATTCCACCGGTTTCAGCATGGTTCACACTGGATCAATCAGATCCGTTTAGGTGATCTTCTAAGTGAAATCGGATGAAATTGGTACAGTGCGATGCACGTGTTGAAAGACCCAAGTGAGAGTACCTAAGCTGAAAGAACATAGGCAAAGATGTACTCCCATTGTTTCAGGATGTCGGGGCGCTGGGATATAATTAGTTCTAGTTGCGCAGGTTTGCAGAGCCTGCCGGACAAGTTTTGGGCTGTGGAACATGTGTTGTTCAGAATCTCAATGCTTTGCAGAGAGTTGCTAAGAAAAATTGCACGTCGTAACTCCGGCGTTTTTTCCCGTAACTCCGGCGTAATTTCCCGTAACTCCGGCGTAATTTCCCGTAACTCCGGCGTATTTTGTTGGACTCAGTCTTTTGAATTTTGAAAAGTTTTTCACCTAAGAGTTTCGACAAGAACCATGAGTGCTGCTACTTTATTGGCGGGGCCGTCCTGAGGCAAGCAATAAACACAATTTAAAACCATATAAGAATCATGGAGAGCCACTTTGTAAAAAACAATTAGAGACACGGGTGCAGAGAAATAGGGGTTCCTTGCCACATACTCCTTGGTTTCTTCTTGGAAGTCTTTGCTTGGGCACAAGTTTGCTTATATTTTGTGATGGTTCTGCTCTTAGGCCATTCGGAAGATGGGCGAGGGCAATGGGAACGGGAAGGCTCCAGTGCTGGGTTGTGGAATGAGTGTGTTCCAGAAAAAAACTACTTGTGGCGCAAAGGCAGTTTGCTTGTGTATGATCCAGCCTTTTATCATCTCTGTTTTTCAGAATCTTGGATCCGGATGTTTTTTCAGGTCTCCGGCGTTTTTTTCGGAATCCGGCGGAAAAATTTGCCGGATTGAGGTCCGGCACTTTTTTTCCGCCCAAAGGAGGATCCAGGTATATCATACAACTTACTTTCATTGGGATAAACATCATCCAGATTGCAATCTCTGGCCATTCTTCTTCTTTGTTTCGTAGCAAGTGTTCCAACGAATGCTCTTGGAACCCAAATCACCCGCTCGATCGACCAGGTTTACCGATGATCGGGGCCGGGACGGTCGTCCAGTCGGACGGTTCCAAACAGGAACGAGTTGTGGTGACGTGACGTTTTAGGCCGGTGACCGAGTACTGTACCTAGTACTGGTGGTGCTTTGTGAAGCCATAGACTGATTTAGTTGTGCGCTGCATGTGAAAAAAAGTACAATTCCTGAGGTACTTGGCCACACTCAGCTACTATGACCAAATGGCTGGACCTCTGGCATATTGCTGCTGAGCTGGCAACGAAGCATCGCGGAGCATCGCTAGACGAAGCCGGCACGAAGGATCGCAACTGATCGCCCTCCTGGCCCCCGAAATTCTTCGCGCCTCGCGCCGCGGAGGCTTTGACCTCAAGGATGTCTTGATGGAGTGCGATCGCGCCAATCCCGCGCGAGGATGTGTCGATGTGGAGCTGGCGAGTGGCTTGACATAAGCGGTGGGAGGTGGAGACATGGATTGATGAGAGGGGATTTGGTACGTGGCGGCATGTGGTAGTATGTAGAGTCAGTATAGTTTGGATTGCTACATACCAATAGCACCAGGGATGTTACTGAGAAACTTGTTCAGGCGGAATCAAAGAGATGGTTCGCCCGGATCTGCAAAAGCCTGGTCAGTGGCTCTTCAAGGTGAGCTGGGAAGTTGGGAGCTGATCACATCTGCGGTGATGTTGTGAAAAACTCATCAACATGAAAGTAGAAGTCTTCTATAACTATATATAGTAACGACCAAAGCTACTAGCTTGGAGGCCATCGCTTTATTGGGCTTGGAGCCCATCGCTACGAACGTAGCAGGAACGCTACTAAGTAGAATACACGAGCATCGGTCTTTTCGCGGAACTTGGAGCTTGGAGCATCGGATGGCAGATCCATCCGAGGGACCCAATGGGAATGAATGGGTGCAGAATGGATGAAATATGATGAACTCCAACCCATTTGCCAAACACCAGTGACTGGCGGTGCCCCCTTCTGCCGCACTTCCGCCGCAAAAACCTGCCAGGACCCCAGGGGCGTGGACGTGCCGAAAGTCTTCGAGTGAGCTGGACGGCTGGGAATGCTGAGCTCAAGACATGGGAGGCCTCCCACGTAACGACCCTCTGGAATGAGGGAAATCTATTGGTTGGGGCGTTCTCCCTATTAACATACACAACCCATGTGGTTTGGTATGACATGGTATGACCATGTATGACCTAGGACCAATCCACCTGGACCTTAACCCCTTGGACAGTCGTACATTGGTGGTCAGCCCAGAAGCAAGATTCTTGTTGAAATAAGGAACTCTGTTCATTGCTCCTGTTCTGTCAATTGGGATCAATTTGGACCAAAATGCTTGCGTGGTAGCTTCACTCAGGATGAATGAGGCGGATCTTCCTGTCCTTTCAACAACCCGAACACCAAAGGATCATTTCTGGATGCCGACCCCAAATGTGAGGGGATGCTTATATGAACTCTGGAAGCATGCTCGGTACATAAGTTAAGACCAGCACCTAGCCCGCTGAAGCCAGAAGTGTGAACCACCCTAGTTCCAGTGGTGTCATGAGATTTACGAGAAAATGACTGGTCCAAATGTGTGTAGATTCTGTATTTTGCTCCTGTCTCTATATTTATCAAAGTACCATCAGAAACCAACAAAAGCGGAGGATTGCAGATGGATCAGACACATCTTGTAAAGTAAGATTGTCTTCCTGGGACTTTTGCTCACTTTCATGTTCAAATTTTGATGGTTGGTGTGTGAAGATGTGTGAAGAAGGGTGCCTATAAAAACATTGCCTAATTACTGCAGTTATTTCCACTGATCGGGTTCACATGGCACCCTGCTATTGGGGCAAGTTCGGCATGATCCCCTAAACGCTGGATGTCGAAAGCATGGAAGCAAGGATTGCTTCAGGCAAGCTGAATGACAAGGTGAGGGAATCGCGGCAAGCCAGCTCTGTTACCCGTTGCTTGCCCAAACCATGCTGCCCACACAGGTACGTTGGAGAGAACTTCGAGAAGAAGAAGTTCAAGGCGGGGTTCACATGAGTTTTAGTCGGCCTCGCTCTTCAGACGTCACCTGCTGTTGATGAAACGGATTGTCATTCTACCTACAACACAGCTATATATTTGGTTGCTTAATGTCACTCCCCCCTGCACACCTTTCACGGAAGTTGATATCATACGCCTGAAGAGATTCGGCACTGAACTAAGCCGTTGGATTTGCCCCTTTGCTGGACTGTCCTCTCTAGCAGTGTGGAGATGGACATGGGAATCCAGGTTACTGTGAGGACACTTTTCCCTTCAGATCAACCTCGTGACCTCATAAGACCTTTTGACATCTTTTGACCTCATTTAACCTGCGCAGTCGTGCTACAGTCGTCTTGCTGCCATAGAAAGTACAGTAGCTGCCTATCACTTGAAAAGACCTTGACTCACTGAGTTTGATATGTCAAGTGTGAGATTAGGTGGTAACGGGCATCATCACCACCCAATTATAGTGGACACTGGACACTTGCATTGAAGGGGGGGCGATGGGCTATTTATAGCCGATTCGACCGATGGAGCGGACATCATTCTCTCCACAGAATATGTTTCCAAAAGTCCAGCTTCCATTCTCATGGGCAGGCAAGATTCAAGCAGGAGACCATTCTCGCTGCTTTGGAAGAAGGCGTGGTTGCCGCACCCTTCGTGATCGTGGGTGGTGGGTTCAAAGTGGTGTTAGCAAGAGCACCAATAAGGAGCAACCCTTTTGTTGTTGCCCCGCACAAAAGACCGCGCTGAAGTCCTCGGTCCAAAGGTCGAAACCTGGATGGGTCTGCAATTCAAGATTTGATCACCTGCCGGTGGTTGAAGATGTTTCATACACCAAAAGCAATGATATCATCACTACCGGTACTTTCAGTAAACGCCTTCCGCCACCACCTGCCGGACCCGATGCGGATGGCTCCACAAGGCGACGTGCCGGGCATCACCGAGCTCCGCGCAGAGTCCAATCCCTTGGGTTCTCTGGGCTGCACCGGAGAGCACCGGGGAGCGCGCAGAGAACAGTCGATCCGTTGCACAGATATGCACAGATCCGCTCTGAGCTGCCAAGCAGTGACGAGCGGATCGATCGGAGAGTGGAGGCGAGCTCAGTGTCCATGCATCACCGTGACGGTATGCCCTGGAAGAGACCCACATGGGAACCTGAAAACCACTGGTGTGTGGAGGACGCTAGTCGAAGTCTTCTTTCGATAGCACCTTTCTCAGATCGCTTCCCAAGGCCATCAAGGCCATGTGCAGCACAGATTGAACATTTTGGTTTGGGCTGCTTTTTGTTGCCCCGGAGAATCAAGCAGAGCTGGTGGTGATGTGCACATTCTTTAAAAGTTGTTGTGTTTTTCAAGAAACTCCGCTACTACGGGCTACTACTGTACTATAGCTGTGACGCAGATGTTGCACGATGTCATTCTTCTTCAAGAGGAGTCATTAAAGCATTAAAGCAAGTTCAGATTGGTACTCGTATATAGAAATTAGATAGTCAATGGTGCAAAGATCAAGCTGGACGTTGCAGCCCCAAGTTTTTTAATTCCCCGCTAATTGCGTTAGAAGATGACGGCTACCCAGTCGGCTACCCTCTTCTTCCAGGATCTTCCAGTTCCATCTCTAATCGGTGTGCAGCAAGAGTTTTATTGGGGTTTGATTGGTTTTGCAGGTGGTGTTCCACTCCAAAAGCAGACATCACGGGCTTTGTTTTGGGCCCCAACTCACAGTCGATTCTTTGCATTGCACTGAGGTGCAGAGTACAACTGGGTCGAACGCCTTTGGGGCCGCAAAATGGTGTCTTGGCTGTCTAGCGACAGTGTGTGAGGCATATGGAGAGGGAAGATGCGGGCATGTCTGAGTTCGCCCGTAAGCTTCCACAAGATGGAGAGATCACCCCTAAATCGTCCTGGGTGTCAGTCGTTGATCTGGCTCCTCAGCACTGAATGGAGCAAAGAATGGAGCTCAGATTTCAACATGGGTGTGCTGATCTTCCATTCAGGTCGGCAAGGGTGAGAAGCGGAAGCTCGTTGAGAGCGGCCCAGCAATGATGGACGAGAAGGTCTTTGGCCCTTCGGAGAAAGTTGGCAATTCTAAAATCCTAGACAATCCTAGCAATTTGTGAGATAACTGGATTCAAACTGGGCTGCTTCACGCTGTTTCATGCTGTTTCCTTGGATTTCATGGATTGGAAGGCATTTATATAATGGGATTCGGATCAGTTTGCTCAACAGTGAGTGTTTGCTTGTGGTCTTGCGGATCTTTGCTTGTCAAAGCAAACAAATCGGAGAACATCTCTTTTTTTTCAGATCTCCACCCTGATCGAACGAGTTGAACTCAATCAGCCCACAGGTTGGACTGGAGACGTTCCACCACTTCCCAGGATCCATTGACGAAGCGCCATCACCTCTTTGGTCCACCGAGGCAAAAAGCTTGCCACCAGAGAGTTGCTGGGCGATGGCGCGACGGACCATCAACCGGACCGACCTGGACCGTCGGAGAGTCCTACCCGGACCGTGACCGTGTAGGGTAGTCCAGGCAGGACACCCAGGGCTCTAAGAGTAGCCATATATGTACTATTGGGTCCTAGATCTAGCCTGTTTAAGCTGGAGAGCCAACTTATGTACATTGTACTTTAACTCACATGAGTCCAAGTTGTAGGCCTTCAATTGACCTGCCAGTTGTTTGGACCTCGGAAGCGTTTCAGAAAGTGGTGACTTTCACGGATTTGCCGTGTTCTTTTCGGTCAGGCAAGTCGGAGAAATGAAATGAAGCTTGCGCATGTTTGACTTTGAGAATTGTGGATCTCTCTCAATAGAAACATAACACCTTTTTTACACAGTCTGACAGTTGTTTATTTTGGGGGGGACCCCACTACAAGACTTCAGAACATGAAGTGTGAGACCTAATTGCACAAACCAGTGAACTCCGCAGCCCACAGTCAGGGTGAAGTCTCTCAGTTCTTAGTGAGACAAGATGCACAAAGCTGAAAGGACCTCAAGCTGATTGTCCTAGCATGCCCAAAGGTGGAGCTCCGCATTAGGAACTCATGCAAAAGGAGCTGAGCTCAAAGGTCATGCAATTGACTGGTTGTCCTTGATGTTGATACAGAGGAAAGATTCGGAAAGATCATAAGTGACCGACATCCCAAATGACGTTGAGGATGGTTCTTAGGATTACACCACGGCGGCCAAGAGTGCCCATCACCGGGATTCACTCAGCATGGACTGTCTCGCACGGAGCCGGGTGGAGCCGGGTGACACGACGCGAGAACAGCTGCACCGAGTTACACGGAGAACGGGAACGACAAGCCACGCCTCGGCTTGGTGGAAATCCCCAAGATGCTTCTGAGCGCTTTGGATTTCATCAACCGCGGCAGGTTGATTTCTATCGTGGCGAGCAAGGATGTGACATGAATGTCATGCAATTAGCATGAATTAGCTAGCAGCTAGCGGCTAGCGGTGAGTCAATGCTTGTAAAAGCTTTCCAAAGCGTGGTAGATTGTTATCGCTGCTAGTCACGTCCATTTGGTGCATTTTGGGGGGGTCAACCAGGATCCCCACATTTTAAGCCACACACGAAGTTGTTTGTTTTCTTTGATACAAGACATGGCCCATTTTCTGTGCCCAACAGGCAGCCCGGTGGCCCTCCATGTAGGGGCGAACAGGGTTATGAGCTTGAAAGACACCTGCAGGCAAAGATAAGCAAAGTATTGTTCAGGTACTTGTTCCGAACAAGTTGTCTACTTTCTCCGAGTTGTTTTTCCTGCTCCGATGTTTCTTTCTGCGATGTGTGTATGAGGTACCAAGACTAAGACCTGGCACGATGAGAAGTCCTCCAGGGGCTTGCAGGAAAAGGCACGACCAGTGACCAAATTTCCATCCAGGATTTCCTTTTGGGACTCTCAGCTGGTAGGTTGGTGGAGTCACCCCGCCTCCCTGGTCCGCAAACTCCGGATGGAATGGAACAGAAAGCGGTGATGTTTTCTTTCACCGGGACTTCTTGCCATTTGCAGCACGACGGATGGTTTTTTTTCAGGGGGAGTTCCGGATCCTTTTCAATTTCAGGTTTGCGTGAGGGACATTGACAATTCAAGCAACAAGAGCTTGCACAAAAGATTCCCCCCCAAAAGGAATGCAACATAGGTCACAACATCTCAAGGGTTTGCCCCTGCCCAGCTGCGAATGGTGCCATGGAAGGAGAAGTTAAAACCGTGTATAGCCAAGGGTGCCCATGATTGTGCTTGAGAATCGGACCCCAGACAAAGAGTCAGACAAAGCACGACGAATCAGTACCGTAAAGCCTATCGGGCCTATCGGTAGATAGTCACTCTAGACTATAATAGTAGATTCCCTAGACCCTCCCAGACCCTCCTCACGCTGTCTTTTGGGCAGACGACGATCTGGAAAGAGCAGCGTGAGAAGTTCTTCCGAGCCGTCCAGGTCGCGGGAGATGAAATCTCCGTGCCACCGGGAGATGTTCATGACCGTTGAGTTTTGTCACCGTGTGTTTGAGATCATGTGGAGATGATCGCTGACAAATTTCACCTGTCTATATTACATTACTATACATGTTTGTATCACAATAGCTATCACAATGTATACATTGATATAACAATGTTTCGGTTCGTTCTGTGTTGCTATGTGTTCTCGGGGTCTTTTTCTCATTCTGTCGCCCTTTGCCGGCTTCAGGACTATGTGGGACGCAACAATGCTCAGCCGCTGCGACTGCACAAGTCTAGCATCCGAGCGAACCAAAGAAATCAAAAGACAAGAAGCTTTGGATACATCGGACTCTCACCTTTCAGAGTCCAGTCTCACCTTTAACCTTCAGAGTCCAATGGGCCCCCAGTTTGGGGCATGCCTCACTCAGTCAGATTCATCTCTGGAAAAACGGATCTTTGGAAGCCGACCAATGGGTTCGACGAAGGATTCGCGCTGGTATAGGCCACAGGTTTGTTCCGAATGGAAAGAGGAAAGGACGGGGGGGTTCTATCTCCGCATCTCCCATCCCTTGTGATCCCGCTCGTCGCTAGTAGCCGCTAGCACCATCTTTCACAATCACAGCCTCCCTGGAGATCGGTCACGGCCCGGTCTTGAGAGCTCACACTCCAAACACATCCACTGCCATGTTGCGATGGCACCTCCTGTTGGTACCATGATGTACCATCCAAGTCTCTTGACCTGACCTTGAGACCGCACGACGAAAAGCCGGCCTGAACATGGTGGGTCCTCGTGCGTTTGAGCATTTGAAACCATGCAACTGTTATGCTGAAAGGTCGACAATGTCATAGGCATTGACGCTTGTATGATATTGATATATCTTGAGAGATTGTATTGATACTCATTTGAACGACCTCCCTCAACAATTCCCTGCTCGCATATGGTATAAACTAGGCTCCAGGATGAGTAGACCTTTGATGCTCAGACGATGATATCTCTCACTTCCATGAACAAACAAATGTCCGGTTTCGTCAGTTCAAGATCACGCATTTACCAGCTCAGTACTTCACGCTGTACTCACCCAGTACGCTACTCGCGCTTTGGACGGCCCCCCAGGGAAGCCAACAAGGAGTTCGATCGCCACCTGCGCTACTTCGCTTCTGCCATCGGGCCCATTGCACCTTGGACTGACTCCCGCCGAGACTGCCTGCGGGGAGTCTTGGCAAACTGTTTGGAATTAGAAATGGGTGGAAAGGACGTGCAGGTTAGATATTAATCCAAAGGATCACAAGAATTCACAAAGTGGTGGGTCCTATATTTGTTTTGAGAATTTTGGAGACAGGTAGATGTTGATCTTTGGATGTTTTTGGTAAGATGGGGCTAGGTTGTAGAAAGGGAAGTGCTTGAGTATATAGTCTAGCTGCTGGTGCTGGGAGGACATATGACTATACTCGATGAGTTGCCTTTCTGAAGGAAGTCATGTCCCAAGTTGGCTAACCCTGGAATGTGAGATATGGCGCAAAAGCATGCCGATTGGTTGGACAGGCAAAAGGGCAGGTCGGTGACTTTCCAAAAGTTGCTGGGTGGTTTAGAGGTAGAGCCACAGTTGCAAAGACAGATGTACCGACATTGTTAACCGGAGATCACCATCAGTAGTCGAGTAGTCCATTTGTTCCAAGTTGGCGTTCAATAAGGTCGAAGGCTGGCTTTTTCCTTCTTTGTTATAGTGGGCTCAGCGTGAACTACTTTGGCTCAGCGCTCATAGAGAAATTCCACATGCCCTAGCTTACAAGCCAATTTCAGGTGCTGAAGGATCGCTACTAGTTGAAACAGCAGATCTGTGGATCCATAGACCAATGGTCTTGGCGCCGTGATTGAAATCCAATTCAGGTTGAGGAGGCGTTCTTCATCAATGAAGCTTTGAACGACATGAAAGGCTTCTCGGCCTAAGGAGCTCCAAAAAAAAGTCGCTCGCTTCGCTATCGAAGGCCGAGTTTCTCCAGGAGTTCATGAGTTCTTCGGCCATCTCACCATTTGCTAAATGATCGACAGTTCTTCAGTGTGAGACCATTCAGCACCGTCTTAGACGTGAGAAGCAAGCTAATCCCCTCAAGAAGCGAAACCCTTGGCCGAGCCCATTTCTCAGAAACTGAACTGAGTTCGGTGAAATCTGAAGCCAAGCGCAAGGAAATCCCAAGAGTGATAGAGTGATACAATGGGTTCCTTTGTTTTTGTTGGGCTCTGGACTTGGTCTCTCTCTCTCTCTCTATACTTTGAGAGTCGAATGCCTCTGGGCCATCCGAATCCGGAGAGTTGGAATCCCCTTGCAGAACTTACCTTTGGTCAACGAACATACTGCTGGGATTTGTGGCCAGGAATAATAGCATTCAATATCAGTTCAATGATTTATCATTGGATCAAATGCTTGTTTTCCTGTGGATCTTGATTTCTTCTAGGGAATGGATTTGGTCCTCTTTTCTTGGTGAAGATCCATCTAAGTCCCAAAGAAGTCTTGGGTCGTCGTTTGCTTTGGCGGACGGAACCTTGAGGCTATTTGGGCATTTGGGCCAAGACAAGTCAGCGCTGCGGCTGCAGGGATTTGCGCTTGCGTTCTTTGCACATTCGGGCTGGGACAGCAAAAGGTGGCCAATGACCTCTGAGGAACAGGTTTGAACCCAGCAGGATCCGTTCAAACAAATCACCACGGTTGAGCACAATTCTTGGATCAGACTGGGGTTCTTCTCCGAAGGATGACTGCGAACTTCTGGAAGTGTAAGATGTTGAACGTGTCGAATGTGTTGTGGGCAAGCTCTTTTGATGTGCAGGATTGAGTGATTCATTGTACTATATTGTACTATCAGCACTATCTGTAAAGGGACCATCATGGACCATCCACATCCACAGTGAACACTCCCCTGATTAGTGGATGATTGGTGATGATCAGTCTTTTCCTACCGACCTGCGATTTGCTTGGCCCTTCACCAATCCGTCCCTGACGGTCGGATTTGTTTGGAGAAAGATCCGTTGAATGGCTTCAAATGTGGCTTCGCTTCTGGACGTTTCATTCAGCCAGACTGTTCGCGAACCGGCCCGCTGATCCTTCGGCGCACTCAGGCAGGCGCCGGCGGGAAGCATCTTGAACATTTGGCCTCCCAGTGATTTCAGTGCTCCCTGGGCAGCAGGTGATCGGAGCAAAGGTGAGTAAGGGCGATGTAAGAGGCTGTTTGGTTTGTTTTGGGGAATGTTTTGGGATAGCCGTTTGACTAAGAACGACTAGGTCTTTGAGTGCTTTAGCACAAGATAAACTCAGACAAGTTAGCGCCAATCTGTCGTTGGGGTTGGAGAGGTGGGTTGTTATATATAGTATATTTCGATTTTTGTATCAATGAACGACTGAAACAGCGCGTTTGGCAGATGTCGGGGGGGCCAAACTGAACATGTTTGGTGGCAGCCAATCGCTGCCCTGGCTGTGTCCTTCAGTGATGTTTCTCTGAACATTGGGAGTTCCTTTGTTTCTTTGATCGAGTTAGGGGAGTCGAGACAGCTTTTTCCCAAATCTTTCCAGATTCAACTGCGTAGGAACGCTCCATGCCACAAGTTGGATCAATGTTAAAGCTCCGAGCATTGACCAGATATATAGGAAGCAGCTGCCACCAGCAAGCAGCTTTTATAAGCAGTTGCACCTCTGAGCCATCGCATTTTCGCTCAAAACGCGAAGTTCGAGGTCAAGGGCAAGATCAACCAGGTGGTCGACTACTCGGAGAATGGCCGCATCCGGGAGCAGGCAGAGACAAGCCGAATCAAGCCAATGTCTCGCGTGGTTGCTTTATGATCAGGTTATGGGTGAATTGATAGTCTTCTGAAATAGACGGAACATGGAAGAAGTCAAAATCGATATATATATATATATAATAAATTATATAATATTACATAATTGTATAATTGCATAATTACAGTAACTATAATTACAGTATTGGCCAGTATTAGTATTGGTGTTTGACACGTGCCGTACTCTACAAACCTATAGGTGGTGACGAGCGTGGCGACCCACTACCAAGAGAATCCTTTGCAAAAGGAAAACCAGGAAAAACACATAATTCAGAATACCACTGAAAGCATTGAAGACCCGTTGAGCCAAGCTGTTTGGTGTCTTAATCTTTGTTTTGAAGAGCTTCATCTCAGTATCTCCAATATATCAGGGTGGAACCCATAGTGGAAAGCCTCGGAGGCGATCCAACCCTTCCGTGCTTGGATCAGAGTTCCAGAGTTCATTTACCTTCCTTGTCTTTTGATCTGCCTGAGGGCTACAAGATCTACGACTACATCAAGCCAGCAGATGCTCTCGCAAGCCACTTGGAATGAGCACTGGGAATTGAAACGGCGGCCAGCCTCGGGAACGCAGAGCTGGGTCCTGAATGGTCCTGATGCATTGCTGCGGCATACTGATTTGCGCAAGCGTCGTGCGTGCCACTATTCTGCTTTTGGATAGTGCTATCCACCTGTGGGTGGGATTTGATGCATGTCCTCAGCAGATTTGGGGGATCACAATGACAACTGTCAACGCGGGCCCACAGTCTCGGTGACTGTTGTGAAGCCAACTTAGGGCCTTTTCCCCATCAATACAGAGGTCCTGTGGGTGGAATGTGGCCCTGATATAGCTATAAAGGCTTCGTGTGGTACCGTTGATGGGGTTTTCTCCATGCACAAAGTATACGTCATCGACGTTCTTCGTTCGCAAGTTCCGACCTTTGCAGCCGATTCTCTTCCACCAAAGGGTATCCCAAGTGGTCCAGGATGTTGTTTGAGGCATCCCACCAAAACCACCGGGAAAGACACGTAGATTGGTTCCTCCATTTCGAGACACATCCCTGAGCGGCTATGCAGGCCGATAGAAGAATTAAAAATTCAAGTCTGGAAGTCCCAGTCTTGTAGGGCGCTAGAAATGAAATGCCAAAGAGCAAAGTGCCATTTCCATGCCTGGCCTGTTTTGCTCTTGGCGCCAACATGAGACCTTAGGCTATGCTGAAGACCTGGCGCATGGAAAGGATGGCATCATGTTGGTCACCATGTTGGAATACATCCGACGCATTTCTGCAGCTTGGCGGAGACGCGTGCGATGTGTGTGAAACCCGGAATCATAGGGAACCTGTTGACATTGTGAAGCAAGGGAGTGCTTTTATAAATCCCCTAGAAATCCACATACCCTCTGGGAAGGTGATGTGTTCGACACTGTTGTGTAGGTTTGGAGGGTCCAGTCGTACCTTCTGAGAAGGTACGACTGGATCCCTAGGGAATATCTTGAAATATCTTGAGTGTGTGTCAAGCGTAGTGGTGGAGTGACCTTCGTTCCACTCACTCGTCGTAAACCTGCCGTCCACTGTAGCCCGGAAGGGATGGTCTCACTGTAGAAACGAGAGGACCCCAATTGGTCGAAGTGGCTTTATGCCACGCAATTTGAACCTATACACTCCAGGGGCAAATAAACTGTTGGAATTGGACTATGTGCAGCAAGCTGGTTGGACAACAGATTCTCCAATCAGGATTCCTGTGTGCCAGACTCGCCACAGCCGATGCCAGACGATGCCATGATCATCACCAGCTCCTTAGTGACTATCCCCGGTCACCGAGGTACACAGGAAGCGCAACACCAAAGTCTTAGCCACTCGGCTGGTGACAATCTGCTGGCTGGTTCCAGCAGCCACACTAAGCAGGTGTCTCCAATCACCTTCTGAGAAGGTACTTGGATCCCTAGGGCAGGTTTTTGGCTTTTCTTGATGCTTCTTGGAATGTGCTTTGGACCGCAACAAACCGGACAGGCTGAACTTGTGCTGGCCAGGTATAGGCTATGTATAGGGTCTTGGGATCCATAAAGAAGTCATATGAGCGAATTCGTTTCGATGACGGGAAGCATGAATCAAACGTTTCGGTGGACCGCGAATCCTGAGCTAGAATGGTTCCCTACAAGTGATATTTAACACTGTGGATTGGGTACGTATACCGACTGGGTTTCCATTTTGATATATCTTGATGCACTGTACATCAAGACTCACCATGACTCTAACCAGTGAGAATCACCCGTGATTCTCCAGACTCATCCAAGCGAAGTGAGAGTGGACTGCACCCAATGCAAAGCATCCGATTCTCTTCAAACGCTCAACACCTGACATTTGTCCAGGTGCACATGAATGGTAGAATCTTGATTCAACCCCCGATATGTATTTCATAATATTTCATATTTCATGAGTTCAAACAACTCATGTTCGAGCGGGGTGGTCTTTTCTTCAAGACGAAAACATGAAGATCTCACAAGGTCGACATCCGCTGAATCCGCAGGTGGGGACCTTTATCCGCTCGGATATCCCGGGTGCCGACCTGGACTGCGACGGTGCCCGGGCCTCCCTGGAGTTCGCTCAGGAGACGGGGAGACGGGCAGACCGGTGCCGCACCCAGTGTCAAGGCATAATCATGCATAATCTTGTTTTTTTAGTAGGAGGTCACGGTCATAGTCAAGCAATTTGGAAAGGATGAGGAGAGTAATATAGATTGTTTGTGGCTGGTTATGTGTAAACTGTAAAGGGATGATCGAAAGAGGGGACAAAAGAAGCACCGTTGGCCTGTTTATATCGCAGATTTCACCGAGTAAGGTCTGCATCAATGCTCCCCGGTTGCTAAACACTGACCGCAAAACCTATAGCTCATAGCTCTGAACACAGCTATAATATATAGTTAGTTGCAGGCATCAACGGCAGATCCGGTAGTAATTAGTCTGATTCTGTGGCGACCAGATGGTTCCTATAGTATTTAATATAGGCAGACCCTGCCAAACGGTGCGTCGCCTCATCCCTGGAGCCGTCGGGCTCAGCATGGCTCAGCCGTCCCCGTTGACCGTGAGGACTTGAGCGACATGGTGGGTTGGAGCCGAGGACTTCCCGGAGTTATGTGGCATCTCCACTGAGCGGGAACAGCCCGCTGAAGAAGGCCTGGTTTGGTGGTGAAGAACGCCAAGGACAAGGAAAAACACCCGCAGAGCAAGAGAAGGAACCTGAAGAATGCACTAGGATAGACTTTGTATCAATTTTGGACACCCTCAGGTTCCATTGTCAGTCTGTGGAGGTGTGTCCCTGACCGATGCTCCAACTTATATAGATAGATTTAGAGGCCTCACCAGGCGCATGACAGCTGTGAAAAGCGGCATGAAACGGCCAAAGGCGCTGAACAGAAGGAACGCCAGCAAAATGCTTTGGCCCAACCGCTGGATCAACTCAGTTGCTTTGTCCTACCCAACCATCGAGAGAAGGCTGCAGGCTCGCCCAAGAGGGCTTGAGAAATCCAAACATCAGGACCTCATCCAATGAGTCGGAACACCCTTTGGTTGACCCAGTCAGTCTCGATATGTTCGTTCTGAACATTGGGTCTTCTACGCGCCGGTCTTGCGCTGGAGTCTTGGTTCGGCCGGGCCTGAGGTCTTGGGATGACCAGCTCAATGAGGAGCCGGTGGGTTTGACCAGGGAAGAGTGGCTGAAGCTCGGCCAGAGAAGCCTCATGAATGGAGCATGTCTCTTGGGGTTATCTTGTGAAAGTGCAGCTGATGTTTTGTCCACAGCATGTCATGGCAGACGGTTCTGACGCTTCACATTCCAGGCGATCGGGGATCGACCCGATCGCCTCGAGGCGTGAAGCACGCAACGGACCGGAACCGACCACCCGCGACCAGGAGATCGGAGGTGACGAGGCGGCCTTTATCCGCGAGGAGAACCGACTCCTGCGGAGGCCGTGTGTCTTGGGGGAAACCAGAGAACAGTTGGCCGGTGGGGTGCCTTGGTGACTTGGATAGGGGTTTGGGCCTGGCTACAGTTTTCCCAGTCAACTGGCACTGCAAAAAGCCGATTTTAAAGGAGTTATGCTGCGCCATCTAGCATAAGTTAGCATAAGTGTTCATGGCTCATGACTCACGACTGATGGCAGATCTCTGAAGAATGATTTCCATGTCTTTGTTCTTCTGTACTTGTAGACAACTTGCAGCTGTTCCTTCTCTTTTGTGTGGCCCCTACATGATGGGTATAGGAATGTATAATATGATTTATATATAAAATATATATAGGTAAGTATGCAAGTTAGAATGCAGGCTCTTGCCCACCTTGCTAGGCTGACTCTCACACGCAAACTTGGAGTGAACTTCCCTGCTACACCGGACAGGGACCAACCATTCAACATCATTCAATCCACCGATTCATTTCGAAAACCTAATTGTACTTTCAAATACACTCCCTGAAGGAATCATGGAAGTAGATGGCATGACCATCTTCCTCTACAAACAGGTTTCTTTGGTTCACTTCCATCATGGTTTCAGTGTCGGTCCGGCCCAACTTCCCAGCATCTGGCAGCATCCGGCCGCTACGCAGCGTCAGGCAGCTGGAAGATCATCCGGAGGCCACACGGCAGGGTGGACACCCCCAGTCGTTCCGACCCTCCAGTCGTTTCGGTTCGGGAACATCGACCAGTCTACCCAGCCAGGGCCATAGCCAGGGCCACTGGATCCTCCCCAAAAAACACTCAGATGTTGGTTTCGCCATGTTTGGGGTTTTCCCAGCGAGTCATCCCTTGGCAGATTTTCCTGTGGGTCGTACACGACACGCATTTTTCCGTGAGACTCCAGGTGCAACTCCTTTGGCCCACGAGTTTGGGGTGGAATAACGAAGTTGTCGCAGATTTGGGGCCGAGTGTAATGATCTAAGATCCATGTGACAGCATGTGAAGACAACCTTCATGGATCAACATCGGACATTCTCAAGGCACGGTCACAGGGTCTTAAAACCTGGACTTTGAACATGGCCAAAGTGGACTCTTGGCTCCATGGAACCGTATGGAACCTAAAGATCCCTACAACACGAAGCCACCAAAAATTGCGAGGCTCAGACATGACCCCCCTTTTTTTGATACTATTTTTGATGGTTGGTGGTCCAAAATAGAGATTCACTCAGGGTCCATGGTGAATATTGTTTCATTATTGTTTCAAACGGCTTCTTTTGGAATTCGCGATTCGTGACCGCATTGGGCCGGCGTCCGATCGGTAGGTTCAGCGACTCAGGGCCGAGAATTGGGCCTTACGCGCCGGCCCAAAGATCGAGACTGGAGGAGAAAGATAGGAAAACCACGGCGCGTTTTAGTGAGTTCTGTTTGTGTTGGTTCATTTCTGATCAACATTGGTTCAGACAACCATTTATATTTATGTCACACTATGTCTATTGTGTTCTCCTTTGCGTCGTTACTTCAGGTTTTGTCCTTCAAGGATAAGACTACTGCGCGAAGAATCATGTTGGAACAGATACACATACACAATCATACACACAAATTCTCAGATATATATATATATAGTTATGGTCCGGTTCACTCTTTTGTGCATCACTCATGTTGCGCGGGCTGGTTGCGGCATCCAACGACAAAGACAAGACATGCAGATGGACTTCGCTGCTTCGACCACTGTTTGACCCAAAGATCTCACCGGTTAGCTGGTGAGTCAGAACATATTGGGCCCCAATGTCAATGAACTCATCAGCTTGTTAATATGAGACCTGAAGCTTCTTTCGCGACCAATAAGAAAAACACACGCTGACATCAGAAAGTGCTCCATGTCAGCAAAAGAGGAACTTAAAAGGCACTAGACGAGAAAAGAGCCACTATACCATGCCATACACGGAAATTTCAGGTCATTTAGAACAACTATAGTCCATGTCTTCCGTCTTCTTGCCTACCTCACCGGTGGCCGCTCGTTTGAACGTCCAAGGTGAGGAACTTCGGACCTTGGACCCTGCAGGCGAGTGGTTTAGCCACGCCGGGAGCGGGGTGGATAGGTGGTGGATAGGTTCTTTGGGAAATGAACAGCGTTGCTGTTTGGTCATGTTTGCTTTGTTTTGTGTGTATGTGTATATGTATAATACGATGTAATATGTGTTTTGTTTGTCACTTTGTGGAAATGCATTTCCAATGAAATGATGGACACATCACATCGCGTATTAATTGTATATGTTTATTGGATTCTGTCATTATTGATTCGTTGATTGAGCTCTCAGTTTTGTACCCTTGGCTGCTGTCATTTTGTGATACTTACTGGGCAGTATCTTAGCTATTGGTTTTTTCACTTATGACTAAGGTTGTTGCTTCATTTCTCTACAAGAAAAGATACGGCACTGATAGACAGCCAGGGATGGCAGGGCCGTGCGTAGATTTACCTGGCAGAAAGCACCTGTGCAACACTTTTGAGGGGAATCATTGCCTTTTGGCAAAAAACGCTTCCCACCTCCAGCAGTAACGGAAACGATCAAAGACCCACAACATCTAAAATGGGATGTTTCTAGGTGGATGATTTAAACCTTCAAGCCAATTTGGAAGCACATTAGGAACCACATCTCAAAAGGATTTGTGGGGTCCATCCATAGATTTGCATGTTCGACCGGACAAGCTCCATAGGCTGGCCACGCTTGTGGGGAAGCCAAGTTGGATTGGACCATCGAGATGAAGTGGATGGTGTCCCGCCCCCGGGATTAAAGAGTAGTACTGTAGCACCCTTTTTGGTTCCGTAGTGTTTCGGCTCTTCGTGAATGACCTGCAAGGGTTGTCACGGCCGTTTGCACTTGGCACCTGGAGCGTCGGGGTTCTGTGACCCTTGTGTTTTTTGTAGGCTTTGGTAGGACACGTAGTAGGCTTGGTCAGATGTAGGCTTAGGTAGGAAAATTGGTCGGAGCATTTAAAGGATGTAGTCGATGTAGTGGATTGTTTTTTGGGAGGTTCTCCTTTTTTGGATGTGTTTGATACCCACGCAAGCATCCTTTTTGCAGATCAGAGATGTGAGAAATCACCACATTCATCCAGACATTATGTTTGAACTGTGTCTTGTTTTCCAATGGGCAGATGGCTCATTGTGCACGAGGTGAAGGACACTCGGCCTAAACATTCTGAATGAATCCGCTACCATGTTGTGAGTCCAAAGGTTTTCTGACACTTCAGGCATCGTACAGCATCCAAAGACCAAACATGCATGCATCATTCGCTCTTTGTTTTGTTCGAAACGACTACAGTATCTTCACATTGGCCAGTAGACTCCTTCATCAACATCAACACAACCACGTGTATAGCCTGTTTTGGCATGTTTATGTGCGGTTATCAAACTCATGTCCAGGATCCGGCGTGTTGGTAAGTAAGCCTTTCACCCAGTTTCCCACTGCAGCGCCATTGTCATGGAGGTTTTTTTGAGAGGAAACATCGCCTTCGTTCAACACGAACACAAGTATGTAGAAACTAAACATCGCCTTAGCAGACAAGGGGAGGGTAATGTGTTTCTTCGCGTGCAACAATCGAAGGGTACCCTGAAGATACCTTGTCTAGGAAATGATGGATCCTATATTTGGGCTGAAGTGTTTAGGGGCTCCCACTATCCGGACTGCATCCATTTCTGACAATGCTTCCTTTTTGCAGCACTAAGGCCCTTGGAAGGCCGGGTTTCCTGAGACGAGTTTGGGTATGGTTCTTTAAAGACAGGGTCCAGCAACGTGATCAGTCGACTAGAGGACTACACTGACAAAGGGATGCCGGTAGACTCCCTTTCAACTGGTATGAAGAAATGCTCCAAAAAGAACTACTCGCTTGAGATACGCAGGAACTGGTCCCGACACATGCGCAGGAACTTGTTTGATTGATCAGGGCTGCGGGGGGGTCCCAAGTTACTACGAGGCGTTCATCCGTTGTGCATCCTATCGAGTCCTCCTCATACTACTTGCTTACAGTACATGTTTGGAAGATCCCAAACCCAAAGATTGCTGGAAACATCCATTTACATCACGTTATATCCATTTACACATGAGGGTCCAGACCAATCTCCGGTTGCTAGGCGTGTTACTTGTGCCTTATGATGACCTCATCAATGAGTTGTTGCCATATCAATGGCGGCGCCCTGTGTTGCATGGGATGGTCTCATGATCAATGCTTTCGCAGTCGACATCAGTCGACCAATCCCGCTTGAACCGACATTTGCATTGCAGTGCCAGGGACAAG